GGGGGGGGGGGGGACACGATGGCGGCGCTGCAGCCTATAAGGGAGCAGGAATGTGTCCATTTATCACCGGTGGCAGTGTGTAAGATGACATGTGAAACAGAGACAGCAGAGCTCTCTTTCTTCATCTGTGAGACCATGTTAATATCCTCTATGTGTGTGAGATTTGAGATTCTGAGAACCACAAGAGTGAGGCCTCTCCAAGTTGAGTTTAAATTGCAGGAATGATGAAAGTTGATGCTTTGTTCAATTAAATGCATTCCACATATACACACTGACACTTAGCGGTGTACTTCTTAAAGTCTTGCGATCCCAAATGAAGAAGTCCCTTAAACCACAGAACAAATGTGCACACATTTAAACATACGGCCACCATACGGTTTAGTAAGTGTAAGTTTTAATGTTATTTTTGAATCGTGGACTTAAGTAGGCAGACATGGTTTGTTTTGCCACATCCGAGAGCCTTTAAAAGATGAATTTAGAATATAATGGCACAAATACACTGATATATACAGAGGCTTGGGCGATAACAGTGTTAGTTAAAACCTAAACACAGTTAGTTGTAAAGGATCAGATGTGATCTCTTCTCTGTGAGCTGTACTGTTCTGTAGGATAATACTTTAAGTCTGAATCTATTCGCCTACTGCCTGAATCTTTGCTTCACTTGTTCTGTTTTTAATGCAGCAGGTGAACCTATGTTCAGTAAATAGTGTGTGTGAGCCTAACTGTGTGTGTTAAACTAAAATGGAGCATTTTCTGTCAGCTCAGATGTTATGTAGTGCTCATGTGTTTCAGTGTTGGTTGAATATGTTGAATGAAAGGCAGGTTTTCCTATAAATAAAACCACTTTTGAACCTAAATATCTTGCTTTCTTCTTTTCTAAGGTGTTCTGTTATCTTACATCATTCCTTTCTGTGAAATACATCTTATTGATATTTCCTTTAGCTTCCCGATACACTGCAGAAATATGAGCATCACCTCAAAGACGAGCTGCAGCTTCCTTTAAACTCTTGTTTGCTGTTCTGGCTCAGAGGTGCAGATCAGAGGGTGAGGCCAGGATCACACACACTGTGTCAAATGGAAAAGCCCCCGCGAGACATGAGGAATATCATAATTAATGTGTAGGGCGGATTTCAAATGTACACTCTTATGGCCTTAAGGGCACTTTCTCACTTATATTTCCCCCGTTTGCACGATAATTAAATGCTATACATAGTCTATCTCCTTAGGAAGGGGAATATATGGAAACAGATGTGAGAATACGCAATGAAGTGAGTTTACTGTATTACAATCTAAATGTGAATCTAAATGGTAAAGGACTATTTCTTTACTCAAACTGCATGATGCTTAAAAAATAGTGAATGTAACATTATGGCACATTTTTAAATGGTTTTATCTTGATAGGTGACAGTGGAGGGAGTCCTTGCAGTTGTTGCATGTATGGGTTGTTCTCATAATCCATTTCTGTCTGTTTTTCTAACTGGGACTGGATTGGTCCATCATCTCCTTAGGAAGTAGAATATACTGAATAAATGAAAACGGATGTCAGAATCTGCAAAAAACTGTTTACTTCATGCATATTAAACATCATTTTTAATATTTTGTAAAGGACAATTGATGTGTTCAAAGAGTAGCTGCATGATGCATACACAAAATAAAATGTTATATATGGGCAGCTTTTTTAAATGATATTTGAATGGGTTGCACTCCAAATCATATTCTGTCTTTTTGATTTTTTCTAACTGGGAAAGGGACTGGATTTGGGGGGGGGGGCTGCTCTATCATCTCCTCCTCTCCATAACTTTGTTCCTCTCGGTCTGCAGATCAAAGGCCTGTGGGATTGGGGTCCTGAAGATGTACATTGTTGGGCTGACAGGGCGACAAAGCGCGGAGAAAGCGTGGTGTATCAGACATGTCAGGCCCCGAAAGGAGAGGGAGGAACGAGGCCTGGGTGTCGATTTAATTCCCCGACTGACTGCAGGAATTTGGAGCTTTTTTTAGCCCAAAAAAAGTCCCCTCAGTATAAGTCCAGTTAGCATCTGGGCTGCATGGATGAAGAGGGATGTTTGCTAACATGGGGGTGTTAATAGAGTCCACGTTTGTGTGCAGAGTTAACATGGAGCAGACTCTGAATTTGAGATGCATATATAAATATTCAGGGTTTTATCCAAGCTGTGCGCGTATTTAAAGCAATTTGGCGACTTTCTAGTCACTTTAGAAACTTCGCCATGAATTGAGGTACCCTAACCCCCCTCAAAAAAAGTAAAATCTCACGTGTGAGACTCGTCCCTGCAACCTGCTGCTCCTACAAAGACTTTAAAAGTGTCCGAAGTGACTGGAGCTGACGAGACAGTCCCAGAATAAATATTGGTATTCATTTGAGAAATGAGGATTTGAACAAGGAATACAAAACCCGACACACAAAAAAAAAACAAGCATGAATGAAAGTATTGTCCCCCCCGGCTTTGAAATTCTGATTCACCATATCATAACCCCCGCGAGGAGAAAAGCATCAATATCCCCGCGCAAAGGACGCGTTTCTATGGAAGAGTGAAGAATCTTAGCGCAGAGCAGATCTGGCGCAGGGGGAAGAGAAGGCCGAAGAAAGGGATCAAAGGCTCGCGACAACAAGGCTTTCTGCGCGAGGGAAGATGGACGAGGGTGACTTTTAAGTCTTGGGGAGGTTTTGGAGACTTTTTCTGCAGCCCGTGTCTCTGAGAGGGGCTTTAAAATCACTTTGGTTTTCAGAGTTTTTTTATTAATTCAGTTTAAACTCTATTTTTTTTGGCAGAATGATTACATGACATATTTATTCGTTCAAACAGAGAAGCAAATAGCTCATGTTATTTTTGTATTTCTATTCATACTCCGATATCTTTATTTCTGTCCTTATAATCGTTTTAATATTATCCCTGTGTATATTGCCATGTGTTTCTCTCTTATTATGCAGCTACTATAACACCTGAATTTCCCTATAAATAAAGCTCCATCTTATCTGTTATTTAAGAAAGATTTTAAAATAAAAACAAAGACGATTTACGCACTTTTAGTTTTATATCCTGCTCTCCAAAATGGCACGTTTACGCATCATGAGTAAAGGGTTATATTATATAAATAGACACAGTGTGGTTTTAAATCAGCACACCTGGGAGATAAATAAAACCATAACAAAGTGCAGTATATTTCCCGCTGTATCGAACCCTGAACGCAGGCCCTGCAGAGCTGACACGTCTCAATACAGGCCCATCACGCACATTTTCATCCATGCGCCCTTTCAGGTACCCGGACACGCATAGAAACAACACTAAAGTAAACAGGACTAACAGGAGACTAGTCCCTTTGTTGTTCCACAGGCAGCTGCCCGGCCCTCCATTATCCCGGAGCAGACTGACCGCATCCTCCCCACCGCCCCCCCACCAGCCCGCTGCACAAAAAGAGAGGGATGTTCTGCTTGCATGGGTAACACTGTCGTTCCAGCCCTTAGCAGTCCTCTTACTCCCCATTGAAAGGAGTGGGAGTAGTGGACACAGCCTGATCTGAGGAGCACAAAGGCTCTCCGTAGAGTCCCATTGGAGTGAAAGGAATGGAGGGGCTGGAGATTTGTGAAAGAGGGTCGGGAGATTTAGAGGGAGAACGGAAGTTTTGTTGTTGTGCTTGATTTCCCTGCCTAACTAGGGATGGAGTGGCTGGATAAACCCACTTACACTCAGTGTGCTCACCTTTTAATAAGCAGAGGGGAGTTTGCTCACCTGTTCAGCCTAATACAAAACATATCTAATGTAATCCATTTTGTGGGTTTCTTATTTCATGTTATACCTCAAACCTCGTAAAACATAATATTTTTCAACTGACATAAGGTCATCTGTGTCATATTGAATAAACTGTCATAATTATAAGGCCCGAAACATGATATTCTGATCTGCTACTTTGAATATTGTGCACTTTCCACTTTACTTAATACTGTTTTGTCTTTATCTACTGTGTCTTTCAATGTGGGACAAATCAAGGATATCTGATTCTAAGATAGATATTATTCCTCGGATTTCTTCCCCCAACAGCTCAGATTATAATATAGATTATATTTTTCTACAGGCATAGGGAACCGACACATGGTTTCTGTGCATTTTCAATAAGCTGTCTTAATTATAAGGCTCAAAACATGACATTCTGATCTGCTACTAGTCTCTTTTACTTTGAATATTCATGTTTTTATCGTATTAATCGTGCCACTTACCTAATAGCCTTTCACTTTTCTCTTTATCAATCATTTCCCTTGCTGCAACAATGTAAACTTCCCATGTGGGACGAAGAAAAGGAATTCAAAACATGGGTTATTATTCTTCCCCAACGCTTCAGATTTCTGCACATAAACGCAAAACGTTGAGCATAAACAACATAGATGTGTTTAAAAAGGGCCACACATTTTAATTACCATCAATGAGAGATTATGGGACACATGTTAGTTAGATGATGAGATGGTGGCCGGGCAGAGGTGGGAATGTGTGTGTGTCCTCAGGGAGTCCCATGCTGGCAGGGTTTATGTGGACACACACACTTTCAACAAGGATTGAATATGACCCTGTTGCTTCAAAATGGCCTCCTGATTTATACCCATCAAGGTTTAAAGGGGCCTGTCACCTCGGCTGAAATAGAGGTGTTGACAGACACACTTGACAGCTTCTCCCTCACACTGTTTTAATGTTGAACGCTGTGATGGGGGACAATATTCTTTTGTTGCTCTCACTTCCTGTCTGGGTCAACATGTTGCATAAAACACATGAAACGTGCTTCTTTTGAGGCCTTGGGACTGGTTGATGACCTGAGCAGATGAAGCAGGGTGACGTCGGGCTCCTGGCAGCACGGACCAGGTTTGACATTTCATATTGCACTATCCATGTCCTAGCCTACTATAAATTACACCCGAGTGAATAAAAACTGGTTTCAACACGGTGCCATGGGAGTGAAATCCTCCTGAGAAATCCTCTTTGAAGGCACATTCCTTCAGGTCACAGTGCACACAACGCACAGTCGTGCCGTTTCATCCCCATCAACATTTGTGTGGGCGACACAGCCGCCCCGAGGCTAAAAGAAACACGCTCGGGATTTCTCAGTCTATAGTTAGCAAAGGCCAGCTCCTCTGGCTCCACTGAGCAGAGACAGGCCTGACATCAGCACACGCTGCTCTCTGATTGGTGAACGGGATAAACAGCAAAAAAAACAGCAAAATCAGAAAGGTTTCAACGTGTTTGCACTGTAATGGAGATTCATTATTGGTGTGCTTAAGCTATGCACAGCAGGTCTGGAGCACATTGTGTAAATAAAGGAGACCCTGTGTTTTGCTAGCAGGTCCTTCCAGACGGTGCTATTTTAACTCTGCGCTGCATACTGTGTCGTTGCCCGCACTTATAAAGCCTCTCGTGTTATAATTACATCATCTCGAGCCTTGTCATTCAGACACTAGCATGTGAAGCATGTAAACCCCATGGCCGGCTATATATCAGCCTGCTTTGTTTGACATTTATACACAGCCATGCTCTCATGTAATTATGAGCTTACTGTTCTGTCAAATATTTAACGCGTTGTAAAACAGCCGGCTATTTATAAAGTACAGTGGATGGTGCACAGATATGTGTGCGAGAGGGAGAGTGCAGAGTATAATCCCTGACATGTGCACAGTAAACATGATTATGGTTGAAGCTGAGCGAGACATCGATAACTCATCACACTCAAAAATCATCACCCGTATAATATGGAACAGAGCGCGCTGAATTTTGCAAAAGTTAAATTTGATAAATGTTAAGCGTTCGCCTGGATTGAACCCTGGGAATTGCAAGGTGATCCTTTCAATTAAGAAAAAAAAAAATCAATGCAGGATTATTAAATTAGGAGTAAAGGTCATAAACACCAATCTATACCTCAGTTAAAGAGCAAGTTTAGTACTTTATTTGTAGTTTGGTTAAACGCGATGAATTTGTGACCATATTAACATTTCTTTTGAAAAGCCACTAGCTTCCTGCAGAAACCGGCTCGAGATACACTTGTTGTTATATTCCATGGAATGCTCTTAACATCCCGATAGCAATTAATATCTTAAGTGCTTTGACAAAAAACCCATAAAAAAATGTCATCTGTAGAAGCCGTGGCGCTGTAAAAAGCACGACCAATCATCTGAGCCGGCTAAAGTAACTGGATGGCCTACCTGCCTGTCAGCCTTCCATCTGTGCACAAACTTATCTCGTGCCCTCATTGGTCATGTGCGCGTTCGTGTGTGTTGGAGGAGGGGCTCTGTAAGGAAGTCTGAAGGAAGGGGCAGATTTTTTCCGGCTGTGTATTTTCTAATTCTAGCGCACTCGAGCTGGTTTCTCCAAAATTACCTACCCCACCTTTAAGGTCATGAAGCCTAGAAATGTGTACCTTGAAAGCCATGTGCTCCAGGAAGAAGCCTGCTCCGTTGTTCCTCTCAGTCTCATAGCGACTACCAGCACTGATCCACAGTCCAACCTACGATAGGGAAGAATTGCAGGGAAATATTAATCTACAACAACACAAACACATTTTTAATCAAACAGCCCAACCTCCTTAATGGCTGTAAATAAATCCACTACATCTGTGTTCTTACGGTGCAGGTTGCATGTCCGGTGTCCTCGGAGGCGACCCTCAAACCGTTGTCCAGGGTAGTGAGGTGAGTTTCAGGGGCTCCCAGCAGGCTCTGGGCATAGCTGACTGAAGACTGTCCGCGCCTCAGAGACAGCAGGATGGGCTGCAGGGGTAAGACATCAGTCATTTTATAATCCTATACAATTCAAAATTAGTGTTCGGCATTGTTTTTATCTCAAAAACATTGGACACCGCTTTTGAATGTTTTCATCATCATAAAATATTTTTCACATGACTGCATTGTGCACACATGATTCATCTTCTTTTTATTATTCTTACCAAGCAAAGGAGGCCAAGTTTCAAGTTAAAATGACAAAATGGAGGGTTTTAGAACTGTTATCTTGTATTGCAGTATTCACCTTCACACAACCTATTAAATTACTATGCAATACATGTAAAATGAACACCCTTTAAAAAGGACTTCACATCAAGAATCTGAATTGTAGGCCTGTGTTTCCTGTTTTTACACACAAAGTGGATTTGTCAACATGCCTAGGCATAAGCCTGACTACTGAAAACTTAAAGACTATTCATCCATGTAAACAGAAAGCAATAGTAGAAAGGCTTGGCATAGGACAACATCTAACCTTAAAGCTAGCAGCTGACATTCACACCCCTGCCCTCTTATGCTATCGTCCAATGACTAAAAATAGACAAACCCATAATATCAGTATAATAAGTTCAATTCAGGTGAACACATTAATTTAACGCATCCATCATTTTACACTCTACGGCAATGGGATGTCATTATATAATAATTTCCCTTCCGGACTGAATATACAATAATTGGGATGTTTTTCCGAGAACATCTAGGATCAAGGTAGTTGCTATATGCGGTATTTATAGAATGATAAGTAGTGCATGATTTAGGATGAATACAACACCCTGAATCACATTACTTTTGAAGTAGTTGCACAACCCAGTTCCACTAATATAACATCTGTGTCCCGTTGACAATTTCTTAAGGTTATTGTTCAGATTTGGCATACAATGACTTACAACAATAAAACATTTTTGACAGTTGACATTAGTGCAGGATTGTCACTATCTTCATCTGCCTGTCCAAAGTCACAATGCTAATGCTGCTAGCCATGAAGCTTAGCTTTGGAAACTTAAAGAGGGCAAGCGAGGACAATCGAGAAACGACACAGCTGATGACCTTGCGACAGACCGGAATGACGACCAGCTTATCTGGATAACACGAATATAAATCGGGTGGTATACATGGGGTGTTTATTATAAGACGTGCTTTTAAGTTTGACAGGTGACCTTGCGTTCACTGCTAGCTAACTAATGCTAACCGCTTCTCGTTCGCTGAACATCGGACAGCTAAGCTAGCCGGTTAGCATGCTAGCCTGTTAAGTAATCAGGCGGTTTACCCTCTTCGGTTATTTTTAGCTTGGCGTCCAAACAAGTAGAGCATCGGTATAACGTTTAGATATGTCAAGGGCTTTAAAAGTGAACTTACATTTCGGGATTTGGCGAGGGCTCGACCCACGGTGCTCCCGACTCGGCACACGGACGCCGCCATTTCTCAGTACGATAAGGGAGTCCGTTCTGAATCTGTTGTCGTAGGTTTTCTTCGCTGTCAGATAAATGTGTGTCACCTGTTCAACTAAAATGTGTAGTATCGCCACCAACCGGTCATGATGTGGTGTTGCAGGTGACTTCAGTTCCTTATTGCTACTTTACTTTGTTTTTGACAACTGATTAGGAAGAAGATTTTGAGGATGGATTTTTTTACATCTAAAACTGTATTAAAATGAATTACTATTAATACATAATCTGAACATGTATATTGTATATTCAATAGAGATACTCAATGTATACATCTTTCCTGTTGATATTTACATGTGCTGTTGTTTAGTTTTTTTAGTTTATACAAATATCTGCCGTCTGTGGTTATTATGTATTTCATAAAACCCTTATGTTGTGTTCGGGTCTCCCGTGACCCGTTTCAAGTTTAAATTATATAATAACTACGTTTTAGTTTTTTGTATCGGAACAAGGCTTCATGATATCCTCCACAACAGCTATAAACACTACAAAACAGATTTTGACAATTTTGTATTTGTATAATTTGGTGTTGGGGTCACGTAATTTGGTGTTCAGCAGAATAGTTTTGGGTGACTCGAGGTCAAATTTGGCCCAATCAAGATTCATCTTTGACTTTAGACATCTCTCCCCCTTCATCAACTGTAACAATAATTTTTGCAACATGCTCCTGGTCTCCCCTACCTCTGCCCCCCTCCCCCCACGGGAACTCGACCTTTCTCAAAGAATATGTACACTAACACTTGAACCTGAACACACACATGCACGTGTGCAATATGTGGTGTAATGTGTTTTGGGCCATAACATTAAATAACAACAGGATTGTACGGTTATGAATGCATATAAGTTAGTTATGATGTAGTTAAAACAATATTGGATGATAGTCATTCTTTTTGAGTGTTTTGGACTGAGATAAATCATGGGTCATGACCAGTGTTGGGTGTAATGCGTTACAAAAGTAACGGAGTTACAGTAATATATTACT